TGCTGAAACCGATGGATGCGTGAGGAAAACGGCCTCTTCCATTCCTTCTCGGCTTAATTTCTATCACTGCTGTGAACTGACCACACAGAATATGAAGAATATCAAAAACTTTAGGAGTCAGCTGTCCACGGTATCCTTAAGATATCAGCACAATAACAATAACACACTCAGCAAAATATTATCTAATTATCTTTATCAATAAAATCCCAGAAGATATTGAGATATTATTTTTTGTCAATATCGCACACCCTTAGTACCAACACAAAATGATTTGCAACAGTCGCTTTGTCATGTAGACAGTCTCAAGCTCTTGGTTTATTTCAGGGGTTTTTTGGCTGGTAGAAGTTATGAATGGCCGGTAACTTAAAAATTTAGTAGCCAAATTGGCTGGTGAGTAAAAAAGTTAATTTCAATCCCTGCCGCTGTCCCTTTAAGACCTGATGCATGGATCAGATATACAGGTGCATCTCAATAAATTAGAATGGCGTGGAAAAGCTCATTTATTTCAGTAATTCAACTCAAATTGTGAAACTCGTGTATTAAATAAATTCAATGCACACAGACTGAAGTAGTTGAAGTCTTTGGTTCTTTTAATTGTGATGATTTTGGCTCACATTTAACAAAAACCCACCAATTCACTATCTCAACAAATTAGAATACTTCATAAGACCAATAAAAAAAACATTTTTAGTGAATTGTTGGCCTTCTGGAAAGTATGTTCATTTACTGTACATGTACTCAATACTTGTAATTATAATATAATTACGATAATATATATATAAATGAATATATATTTATATACATAAATTAATATAAATGTTCATTTATATAAAAATGAACATAATACAATTAAAAATTTGTTATAAATGTACCTCCAGCAAAAACATCTTTCTTTATATTTTATCAAATCTTCTCTCTACCTTACAGTGTTTTATTTGACCATCAAATTTTTACATCTGTGCTGAAATGATTTACTACCAAACAATCATTATAAATTCATAATGACTATCATGCACGTCTGTAAATGTCCTTGAGAAAACTAATGTCTACCTCACTCTGACAAAAAAAATTTTTTACATGACATAATAGGGGCGTGGCTTACATTGATTGAACTGTCACTTTCAACTTGATTGAACTGTCAAAACCCAAGCTGACTAAACTCAAACCAGTCCAACTCAAATAACTAACCCATTCTACTAAATAGCACTGCAGACACAATGAGATGAATTCATTTCATTGCCTTATACTGTTAAAGCCTTACTACTCAACTTGCATACCATAATGCCCCTATGAATCGCTTTACGAGTGTACTTTTTTATTTTTTTGTCTAGTGATGACATACTTCCTACTAAAACAGGAAGTGTTAGACATATTTTAAATATCTGGTCACAGCTGTAAATAGTTGCTACCTGCTAGTCAGCTGCAGGTTATATAGGAGGAAGGAAATTGTCATACAAGACGGGACAAAAATCTGTATATTACAGGATAAATCTTTTTTTTTTGTCCCTTTTTCAGGAGAAAATCTAATTTTTATGACTATATTTGCCCATTTTCTCAGCATTTAAGAGGCCTCAGCGAAAAGACCTGGACTCAAAGGCACAAAAACTTTAATTTTGATGTAATGTAGTCTTTTACACACAATGACCTAATCAGAATCAAATTCTACTAAGAAAGTAAGAACAGTTTGTTTACATAATCACAAGTGATAGTAAACAACACTGCATTAGTCTTGGCTGTTTAAAAAGATTGTGTTAATGATTTCAAGCTTCAGCTGCAGCGATGCAGTAATAAACGACTGGGCAAAGGTCACGACCATTTGACCATAAACTTACCCAGCCTCCATTTTCCTCGATCCAGTTTTCCAGTGGCCCGTTCAGGTAGTCTGTCATCCAGTGTGCAATATTATCTACCTGGGACGCCATCTCCCGGTTGAAGCTCTCCACACACATGGTCCCACCAAACTCAAAGAAAGCGACGATCCGCCCCCAGTTCACTCCGTCTCTGAAGAGCTCTTCAGCCACAGCTAAGAAGCTGCGTTGTGCTGCATTAGGACTGAATATCATCTGGTGGGACATCTCCTCAAATTCACGCTGGTGCATCCTTTCTATCTGGTCTCCAGCCTCGCGTAACGCCCCGTAGATCCTCGAATAAGGGTCTGAACGTGTGACCCGGTTTGCTATCAGGCATTCAGAGTTGTTCCCCCCTCCGGCTGAGGGAGCCTGGAGCCTCCTGCCTGAGTTTGGAGAGGAGTCCTCCACTCCTGTATTGATGGTGTCATCATCCTCCCCAGAAGATTGAAATTTCCACTCATATCCCTTCTTTGAAAGTTTGTGATTGAGGTATTTCTCCACAATATTCCGATTGTCATAGCGAATTTCGTTGGCCATCGTTATTAAACACGACAAAAACGAGCGAGAGCAGGAAAGAGTCGGTTATTCGAAGTACATCGTAACGGAAAACGTTCTCTCACAGAGAAAAGCTCCGAAAAATGTCAAATTCACATCGCGTTGATGTGAGTTCTCTCATTAAAATTCAATTTTTGAGGAAAATTATATTATTTAGTATCACATTCATTGGTTATGACTCATAAACACGTTATTTTTTTACTTTATAGCAAACCTGCAAGTTCAGCGCGCTGATGGATGGATGTATAGATGGATTGGCCGTTGCTGCAGCGCGCGGTCAAGATCCAAGCGCGTCTCGAGCGCGGCGCGAGGAATGCCTCTTCACTGCTCAAACTCACTGCGCTTATATTCCAGTGAACCTCCAGCCAAGAGCAAGAAAAAGACGCGACGTCGTTGACGTTACAAGACCGAAGAAGAGAGTTAAAGCAAACGCTGTATTTCTAATAATACCACTGACAAACGAGGTCCCAGAAAGACGGAAGAGAAAATAGCAACCAAGTCAGCGCACGAAGAAGCACTTTTGCTGTGTGTAAAATGTACAAGTAGATTTCCACGCTCTTTGGCAAGATGCAGTTTTTCCAACGCGCGGCACGGATCGTGCAGAAATTAAGCGTGCTCCGTCACCGCCGACGAATGACATCGAGGCTGTCGCGTTCATTGAAGCGACGCTAGAACGCTTAAACTGAATACTACTCAATATACTCGCTCACGGGGCGGCACTTCCTCTACGTCACACCATTCATTGCTTTTGGCGTAGTACTCTCCAGATGAAGTGTAATTCTTTGTGTTTGAAGTGCACTTCTTTTCATTCCTTTCAGTTTTGTCAAAGCTACTTTTCATTATCCCCACAGGACTCCATACTTCAGGCGTGTTTTAAGTACAGGGTTCTCACATTTTGACAAATAATTTTACATTAGGGGGACCAGGGAGTGTCATAACACATTTTGTTCAAACTTGTGGACCTATGTGTTTTTGTTGTTGTTGTTGTTTTAAGATAGATAGATATTTATTTATTCAGTCTTCAGATTATTCAGAAAACATTCTAATATGCTGATTTGCTGTTCAGTTAGGCTATTATTTATTAATATAGGCCAATTATTAATAAAAAAAAATCATATTATTACAGTGTTGAAAGGTTTTTGCTACTAAGTATTTTTGTGGAAAATGTAGTACATGATATGTTGTTTTTCAGGATGTGATGAATACAAAGTATTTGTATTTATTTAAAATATTTTTTTTTCTTTTGAAATATTATAATTGCCTTTACTGTCATTTTTGATTCATTTAATGTGTCCTTGATGAAAAACGTATTCATTATATAAGTATAAATATTAAGTATATATATATATATACAAATTTTCACCAGATGTCGGTAACAACCCAAGTAATCCATACATACAAAGAAAACAAATTAATTCAGAAATTAAGTTCTGGGTAATAAAATGGAATGAATGGCCCATAGGGAAAAAGTATTGAACAAGCTTACTGAAATGTAATACTTCGTACAAAAGCCTTTGTTGTTAATGACAGCTTCAAGACGCCTCCTGTATGGAGAAACTAGTCGCATGCATTGCTCAGGTGTGATTTTGGCCCATTCTTCCACACAGACAGTCTTCAAATCTTAAAGGTTCCGTGGGCCTCTTCTATGAACTCTGATCTGTAGTTCTTTCCGTAGATTTTCTATTGGATTCAAGTCAGGTGATTGGCTGGGCCATTCTAGCAGCTTTACTTTCTTTCTCTGAAACCAAATGAGAGTTTCCTTGGCTGTGTTTGGGATCATTGTCTCGCTGAAATGTCCACCCTTGTTTCATCTTCATCATCCTGGTAGATGGCAGCAGATTTTTATCAAGAATGTCTCGGCACATTTTTCCATGTACCCTTCCTTCAATTATATGAATTTTGCCAGTGCCACACCATGATGTTTTTGGGGTGATGTGCAGTGCCATTTGACCTCCAAACATGGTGTGTATTATGGCATCCAAAGAGTTTAATTTTGGTCTTATCTGACCAGAATTCCAGATCTTTCTGAAGCTCTCCACAAGTGGTCCTTGGCTCTTGGACAATTCTTCTGATAATTCTTTTCACTCCTCTGTCAGAAATCTTGTGAGGAGCACCTGGTCGTGGCCGGTTTATGGTGAAATAATGTTCTTTCCACATCCGGATTATGGCCCCAAAAGTACTCCCCAGAACATTCAGAAGTATAGAAATCCTTCAGTAACCAATGCTATCATGTTTTGCAACAATTAGGTTCTGAAGGTCTTGAGAGAGCTCTTTGCTTTTACCCATCATGAAATGTTTCTTGTGTGACACGTTGGTAATAAGACACCTTTTTATGGGCCATCAGTTGAGACTGAACCAGCTAATGTTAATTTCCACTGACTAGGGTCAGGATTGCTTTCTAATTACTGATAGATTTCTGCTGGTGTCTTGGCTTTCCATGCCTTTTTGCACCTCCCTTTTTTCATGTGTTCAATACTTTTTCCCTGTGTCATTACATTTTATTACACAGAACTTAATTTCTGAACTTATTTGTTTTGTTTTCGATTTCAGCTGGTGTCTTGACTTTCCATGCCTTTTTGCACCTCCCTTTCTTCATGTGTTCAATACTTTTTCCCTGTGTCATTCTATTTTATTACACATAACTTAATTTCTGAACTGGTTTGTTTTGTTTTCTTTGTATGTATGGATTACTTGGGTTGTTACCGACATCTGGTGAAAATTGCATGTCAACAGCACCTTTAGAAATATATTTACTGAGAAAAATGGTGTTGGTGATGTGTTCAATACTTATTTTACCCGCTGTAAGTATATACTGTATATATATATATATATATATAAAATCTAATTTACTTGTACAAATAATCATTTTTGAGAAGTTAATAATAATCCATTCAAATAATAAATAATGATGCTATTTAAAAAAATGTCAAAATTTCTACTTTCTACAAAAGTTCACTGATGTTAAATTCACTAGTTACTTGTCCAACCACTGAACCTAATGAGCAGTGTGTCTTTTGGTTGGCAACATTTCAAGCAGTGACAGCTGTGTGACTTCATCTAAAACTGTTTTACACTCTGTGGAACTACAAAAATTGATTTCTCATACAGAGCTGTTTGTGTGAACTGTAATAAAGGTTTTCAAAATAATGAAAACATGGTATAAATGAGCACCTAAGATATGCACTTTCCCTTTTACACAGACACACACTCATAAAAAGTCATTTTAGGCAGTTGGAAAGTGATTGGATTAACTCACACACCTCAGCCAATAACGCACTCTCTCACACTATCTGCCCCAGCCAATCACGGTAAGTAACACATATTCACCTCCACGGTAGTCAGGTATCAGGTTAAATGTACCAACACACGCTTTGTTCTCAGTACAAACAGTACAAAGCCAGAATACTGGAGCAGCTCAGAGTTTAATTCAGTGCATTTATTTAGATTCACATTGGAATATATTTTAAGGCTGTCGGTTGCACAGCATTATTGAGTTTGGAACTTCTCATTAATGCAATCCTGATACATTTTTAGTCATTACGGTGGAATGCATTTATTACTTATTTCCACTGTTTCTTTTCATAGTCCCACTTATGAGAGAATCCATGGACGGGGTTCACTCTCATATCTATCATCCTCTGCGTCTGCTGGGCGACCCACTCTTCAGACAAAGTGTGCGGAACATCACCATACACTGCAAGAAAGAGAGAGAGAAAAAATGGGTGACATTAAGAAAGATTCTATTTTAGAAAATTAAAGTAATATTCTTAGTTTAAATACAAGTTGTTCGCCCAAATTTTATAATTTGGTCATCAATTATTCACCATCTTGCATTGGAATTTTAATTTAGCTTTATTTTGAATTTTTTTTTGTTTGTTTCACAGAATAACAAATCATTTATTAAGAGCTCAAAAAGCTTAAGATAAAACTCTGGTAAAGAAAAAAAGTGTAAAAGAAAAAAATGGGGGTGTCGGGTCTGAAAAACAGTTAATTGTGCAAAATCCCCTTCTATTTTTCCCCTAAGTGGAACTGTAGACCTGTCAGAAAAAAAGTGAACAATAGCACACAGCAAACAATTAAGTGTCCTAACAGAGGGCAGCATCTGACAGCTCAGACTCTTCTGTGGAGTTATATCCTCCAGGCAAAGAACAAGGGACAAAAAATAAAATAAACTAATTAGAGAAAACAATTGCGTCTGCACAGCATGCACAAACCCGTCCGCTAATATCACAGACCTGGTTCATGTAAAAATAGAGCTAATAAACATGCAAATGTACTCGGAAAAAGGTTGCAGTGGAGGGTTCTATATTATTTCTTAACTAAATCATAAGAATGAAGCACTGAAAACTGGATGTTTTTGTACAGCGGTGTTCCAAAATCCACTCGCTTCTTCTAGTATCATTTTTTATTAAATAGTTTATATCATCAGCATAACAGCATAAATTTGAATTGAAAAAGATTTAAATTAATTTTTCCCTGAATTTTCACCAGCCATTACTCGTTTCACGATCCTTCAGAAATTAGTGTAATATACTAATTTGTTGCTCAATTGATGACCAATTATTAATAATAATTTTTTTATTATTAATTGTGTAAACAGTTTTTGCTGCTAACTATTTTTGTAGAAACCATGATAGATTTTTTTTTTCAGGATTCTTTGATGAATAGAAGTTCAAAAGAGTAGCATTTATTTGAAATACAAATCTTTTGTAATATAAATGTCTTTAACTTTTGATCAATTTAATATGTTCTTGATGAATAAAAGTATTAATTTCATTTTATATATATATATATATATATATATATATATCATTTACCCCAAACTTTTGAACAGTAGTGTATCACTATATTAAATAGCACAACTGTTTTCAACATTAATAATAATTTAAGCAGCAAGTCAGAATATTAGAATGAGGATCTGAAGGATCATGTGACACTGAAGACTGGCATAATGATGCTGAAAATTCAGTTTCGCCATCGCAGGAATAAATTACACTTTAAAATATATTAAATAGAAATGAAAAATTATAAAAATATTTCACAATAAATCAACTATTTATAAATAAATACATTATTGCATTAAATAATGAAAGCAGCACTCATTGATTTTTACCTCATAATACTTCTTTGTTGTACATTTTTCACAATTCTTAAATTCTCTTTATTTCCAGGTTTAAATTTTGAATCCCAGATTCTCAATCTGGACTCAGACTGTATATCTGGTATTTGGTTTATATTGTCATTTTTTTCAAGGGCATCTCCCCTTCTAAAACCCCTCAAGGCAGGCGGTATTTCTGTCACAGAAACATATCAAAAGATTATGAATTTTTATGAGTCAGTACACCTGCCCTGAGGTATGTACAGGAAATTTGGTTCAATTTTCAGGGAGTTGTAGGGCAGAGATGCCTGCAAACCCCAGAATAAGAACCTGAAGTGTGACTGTATCCCAGGTGGCTTTCCAAAAAATCACCCCTTTCATCTCCTCTTTATTCCCGACAATTGCTAAAGTCCACCTCAGACGAGTCTTAATACCCAGGCCTAATGAGTTTGAAGAACAGCGGCCCAGAGTGGAGTTTTTCAAGTCACAACATGAGCCTGATATACGTGATACACATTGTGGGAAATACCCAGCGCTCAACTGACAACTGACTTTTGGACTTCTATACTTTGCTCTGTACCTTTGATGCGGCTACACCCCTCTTACCGCCCCCCCCCCAAGGATCCTCACCAAACCAACATGAGCCTGATATACGTGATACACATTGTGGGAAATACCCAGCGCTCAACTGACAACTGACTTTTGGACTTCTATACTTTGCTCTGTACCTTTGATGCGGCTACACCCCTCTTACCGCCCCCCCCCCAAGGATCCCCACCAAACTTTTGTTCTCACAGTTTCTCTGTTTTCCTCCCTCCTTGCGTTATTTTCCTCTACTGTATCTCTCCTGAGGTGATGTAGCATTGACTTCCTTCCTCAAAGAACTGGGGCCTCTGAGACAGAGATGGAGAAGACTCTTCTACTTCCAACAAGATCCCGCTCACATACTTATACAAACACACACACACACAAACACACAATGCACACTCATTCGGTTTTAAACATGTCAACTGCTTTCCATCCGTCTTAGGCACACACACAGCCTTGGAAATCTTCTTATCATTTGTAAAGAAGTTCAGCTGGGTCTAAAGGGATTCCAGAACTGAAGCCGCGGCTCAAACAAGTAAATCTTTACCCTCTTTTCCGCTTCTTTAAACCGTTGACTGCACACACAACCCAGTCCAATTATTTCAGCGGGAGTATGTGCTGCAGGTAAAAAGGCCATGCTGATTCTTCCATCTGACATGAGAAATCAGAGCGATCTGTGCTCTGAGAACTGATGGTCACATTAGAGGAAAAGGATAAAAAAAATAAAAGGCACAAAGAACAAAATCCAAGTGAAAATGAACTCTAAGCAAGGTTTCGGGCCTTAAAGTGATAGCCCACCCAAAAAATGTAAATTCTGTCATCATTCACTCCCTATAATGTTGTTTCAAGCCTGTATGACTTTCTTCCATGGAACAGAAAAGATGATATTGACAACCAAACAGTTTCGGGTCCCATTGATTTCCATAGTATGGACAAAAACTACTATGGAAGTCAATGGGACACAAAAGAAAATATTTTGAAGAGTATTGCAACCAAACAGTTTTGAGTCCAATTGTACGGAAGAGGATTAGGGCCAAGCAATAATAAAAAAATAAAACCATCTCGAGATTATAGTCATTATAATGCGAGATTAAACTCGTTCAATTTCAAGAAAAATGGCGAAATAAAATGTTGAGAATAAACTCATTACATTTCAAGAATAAAGTCGTGTTTTGAGAAAAAACTTGTTAAATTTCAAGAAAAATTTCAAAATAAACTGCTGAGAATAAACACACTCGTGTCATGTTCATTTCATATGATGACTTCATATGATGCGATTGGCTAGGGTTTTAATCCGTCTTTTTTATTTATTTTTTTTTTTATAGTTTATTCTCAACATTTTATTTTAACTTTTTTCTTGAAATGTAACGACATTTTTCTCTAAATTTAATGACTTTTTTGTCTTAATTTAATGAGTTTATTGTCAACATTTTATTTCAACTTGTTTCTTGAAATTTAACGACTTTTTAAATCTCAGCATTTTATTTACTTTTTTTCTCAAAATTTAACGACTTTTTCTCGAAACACAACGACTTTATTCTCGAAATGCAATGAGTTTATTCTCAACATTTTATTTTGACATTCTTCTTGAAAGTTAATGAGTTTAATCTCGCATTATAATGACTTTAATCTCAATTTTTTTTTTTTTATTATTATTGCTTGAACCTAATCCTCTTCCTTACAATTGACTTCCAAATTCCATGGAAGTCAGTGGGACACTAAATAATTTTTTTTATAGAATATTGACAACCAAACAGCTTCAGATCTCATTGACATCCAAAGTACGGACAAAAAAAAATACTACAGAAGTTTGGGGCACAAAAGAAGATATTGTGAAGAATAATGGCAACCAAATGGTTTTAAATCCCATCGACGTTCATAGTATATGGACAAAAAATACTATGGAAGTCAATGGAACCTGAATATGTTTCCCAACATTCTTCAAACTATCTTCTTTTGTGTTCCACAGAAGAAAGAAATATATACAGGTTTGGAATAACGGTGAGCAAATGTTTTTGCATGGGCTATCCCTTTAATTTAGCAGAAGCCAATCTGTTGATTTTGGATTTGACAACTGTTCTGATTTCAGATTGGATGAATAAATAAATCATCAACACAATTAAATCCAGCTGAATCTCACATCAAAGCAACAGAGCGTATCGGGAATGATGAAATGCCTGAAATGTAAGCATTTAAGGCTTTCCTGCCATGATAATCTGGTAATCAAAAACCATTATGCATCATTTAGAGGGTGTATACGTATAAATATCTTCATATGTATATATGGGTGTATACCCACCATAGACACGCTGCCACCACACCAGCAGCCCTGTGAAGCCAAGGAAGATGAAGATGCCCCCGAGGACAGTCATCCACTCTTTGGAACCTTGCCTCATCTCTGCGTACGACAGCTCATGTGTGAGTCTGTACACTGAAAAAAAGAAGAAGAAAAAAAAACACCACAGATGATCTGAATAGTAATTGTTGGATTTAAGAGCTTGCCCTGCTTGCATGCACACTTGTAAGGCAAGGTGGTTGGCTGCCACTCAATTGAAAACAGTTAAACAACGCTGCCATCTGGTGGGAAATAACTTTTAATACCTGAGGCCAAATGAGCGTGAAGTCATTAACATATCTGCCATTATCATTATAATTCCCAAGATCCATGACCCATTTACTATATTAATCATTTAGCCTTTGAGGGATCTTACCCAGGTAAAAGAATTTATTATACATCACAAAGGAATATAAAACTGAAATAAATATAAAAAATAATAATAAAACATAAAAATATAATTGAATACAGAAAATGAACAAATATACAAAATATAAAATATTAAAAAATCTCTATACTTATACCAGGCTGTATTGATAACTAAGGGGTGATTTGTGACATTAATCCTGCTGAATCCTCTCAACTTTAGAAGCAAATAACTCTAATAGCTACTCAAGAAAATTGATCAGTTTCTGCCAAGTGTTCAGTCAGCATTCAACCCCATTAAGACCCAAATATTTTAATCATTTCTATTGGTAGCTGAATTGAGCAATATGGCAATGTGGTCCAAAAGGCTGTTCTTCATAACTGTCCAGCTAAGAAGCTAAGAGCAACACTGGCTATATTCATTATATACCCAGTGTTAATATACCCAGAATAGAATATACCATAAAATACAATATAATATTTTAAAAATAGATTAAATGAAATATGAAATTATAATAATATGCACTACCATTTAAAAGTTTGGCAGGTTATAAGATTTTTTTTATGCTTTTCAAATAAGTATCTTATGCTCACCATGGCTGTATTTAGTTGATTAAGAATACAGTAACAACACTAATATTGTGAAATATTAATACGTTTTCTGTTTTAATGTATTTTAAAATGTAATTTATTCCTGTAATGCAAAGCTGAATTTTCAGCATTATTACTCCAGTCTTCACTGTCACAATGATCCTTCAGTAATCATTCTGAACAGGAAACGTTTATTACTATCAATGTTACAGCTGTGCTGCTTAATATTTTTATGGAATTCTTTATGAACATTTATTTAAATTATACAAAATGTAAAAGTCTTTACTGTCATTTTTGATCAATGAACTGTAACATGTCTTTGTAGAATAAAATAATTAATTTCTTTGTTAAAAAAATCTTATTAACCCCAGACTTCTTAATGGTTCTGTATATCATATTTTCCTTACACCTCTCAACTTTAGAAGCAAATAACTCTAATAGCTACTCAAGAAAATTGATCAGTTTCTGCCAAGTGTTCAGTCAGCATTCAACCCCATTAAGACCCAAATATTTTAATCATTTCTATTGGTAGCTGAATTGAGCAATATGGCAATGTGGTCCAAAAGGCTGTTCTTCATAACTGTCCAGCTAAGAAGCTAAGAGCAACACTGGCTATATTCATTATATACCCAGTGTTAATATACCCAGAATAGAATATACCATAAAATACAATATAATATTTTAAAAATAGATTAAATGAAATATGAAATTATAATAATATGCACTACCATTTAAAAGTTTGGCAGGTTATAAGATTTTTTTTATGCTTTTCAAATAAGTATCTTATGCTCACCATGGCTGTATTTAGTTGATTAAGAATACAGTAACAACACTAATATTGTGAAATATTAATACGTTTTCTGTTTTAATGTATTTTAAAATGTAATTTATTCCTGTAATGCAAAGCTGAATTTTCAGCATTATTACTCCAGTCTTCACTGTCACAATGATCCTTCAGTAATCATTCTGAACAGGAAACGTTTATTACTATCAATGTTACAGCTGTGCTGCTTAATATTTTTATGGAATTCTTTATGAACATTTATTTAAATTATACAAAATGTAAAAGTCTTTACTGTCATTTTTGATCAATGAACTGTAACATGTCTTTGTAGAATAAAATAATTAATTTCTTTGTTAAAAAAATCTTATTAACCCCAGACTTCTTAATGGTTCTGTATATCATATTTTCCTTACAGTACCTATTACATATGAGCATGTTTATACCTACAGCTACTGTAAAGACAAATCTGGTTATTCAGGAGCTCCATGAGTGAGTAACAGTTTCCTCCACACCCAGGTTCAAAGTATAACCTGTTCTTATAACAACAGGAGATTTTATGAGTGATTTATTTGCTTATTAAGCAGTAGATTAAAAAAGCTAAAAGTTAGCCTAAGTTATTCAGATTTACAGGCTAGTTTCTCCTCCTTGGTGAGCTGGGTCCATGATCCCTTCTCTTTCTCTTTGAGTTTCTTCTGTTCGGCACTGAGATTTCTGACAAATGGAACATCTGGCAATGGCGTGTCCAGACGGTTGTTGTACTGAGGAACGGAGCAGTCAACCACATCAACATCTGAGGACAAATGCACAAGAACAACAACAGTCAAGAGTTTGAAAGTATCTGTCCAAATAGACAGACAGACAGACAGACAGACAGACAGATAGACTGACAGACAGACAGACAGACAGACAGACCGGCCGACAGACACACACAGACAGACAGACAGACACAGACAGATAGACAGACAGACAGACAGTCAGACAGACAGACAGAAAGACAGTCAGACAGACAGACAGACAGACCGACAGACTGACAGACCAACAGACAGACAGATAGATAGATAGACAGACAGACAGACAGACAGACAGACAGACAGACAGACAGACAGACAGACAGACAGACAGACAGACAGACAGACAGACAGACAGACAGACAGACAGACAGACAGACAGACAGACAGACAGACAGACAGACAGACAGACAGACAGACAGACAGACAGACAGACAGACAGACAGACAGACAGACAGACAGACAGACAGACAGACAGACAGACAGACAGACAGACAGACAGACAGACAGACAGACAGACAGACAGACAGACAGACAGACAGACAGACAGACCGACCGACAGACAGACACAGACACACAGACAGACAGACAGACAGACAGACAGACCGACATACACAGGCAGACAGATAGACAGACAGATAGACATACAGACCGGCCGACAGACAGACAGACAGACAGATAGATAGATAGATAGATAGATAGATAGATAGTGAATGAATGATAGTGAATGTGAATGACAGCTGAGTGGTCTCTATTGCCCTTGAGAGTGTGCGGTCACCGTGAGTGTGTGCAGCCCAGGCAGCAGATGAAGTTGACACCCTCCTCCAGAATCCAGACTGCAGTCCCCGCACCAGTGCACGAGAGGCCAGCATCTAAAAACAATGCCAACATGTATTGGCCGGACTCATGGACAACTCATTGAGCTTTCAGGTAAGTCACACAGGGATTGGCATGACAATAACGGGTCTCAAAACCTAAGGAGGTGACTTTCTGCACTTTGACCAAGTTGCCAGTTTTCACCATAGTTTTCACCAAGTCCCTTACAAAAAATATTGGTGCTACAATGGTGCACTGATTATACCAAATATGACCTAATTGTCTCATTGAATTCTATACTAGTTTAGAACGAAGCCCACCCAAAAAAATTAAATTCTGTCATCATTTACTCCCCTTCAAGTTGTTCCAAACTTGTATGAGTTTCTATCTTCTGATGATTTGTTTGTTTGAAGAATGTTTGGAACCAAACAGTTGACTGTAGCCATTGATTTCCATAGTATTTTTCTATGAACTAGAACTAAACTAGTATTTTTCTCCTATGGGAGTCAATGGCTACCATCAACTGTTTGGTTACCCACATTCTTCAAAAACCTTCTTTTATGCTCAGCAGAAGAAATTGAAATGTTTGTCATCATTTACTCCCTCATATCAATCCAAACATGTATGCATTTCTTTCTTCTGTGAAAGTTAGAAGAATGTTGGTAATCACACAGGCATGGTCCCCTTTGACTTTCAGTGTATTTTTGTCCATACCATTTCATCAATGGAAGTCAATGGGAACTGAAACAATGGTAACTATTCTTCACAATATCTTCTTTTACATTCATTTGCATGCAAGAAATTGTACTTTTACAGAGATTGCACTAAAAAATAGTGCAAATAAAAAAAGTTTTGTTTTTGAAGGTCTAATTTTTTAATTAAAATTCATTAAATAAAGTAATATTGTGAAATATTATTACAATTTAAAATAACAGTTCTCTATTTGAATATATTTTAAAATGTAATTCATTCCTGTGATGCGAAACTGCATTTTCAACAGCTTTCCGTGTCACATGATCCTTCAGAAATCAGTCTGATTCATTCTAATAGGCTGATTTGGTACTCAAGAAACATTTCTTAATATATTAAGAAGTTACATTTATTCAAGGATGCATATATATATATGCCCAGATATGCAGTGACGTGGTGATGCCCAGATATGCAGTGCAAGTATCCAGGTCACAGGACACACCGCCAATGACCTTGAATGTAGCTTTTGCCAGAGCTCGTCTGCAAGATTAATACATGCAAACTGAAAACGTGAAATGTCGTTGCTCATTATTAAAAGGGCAGCGACATACTTATGATTGTGGAAATGCATTTAAAAGATCCTCCTGCACCTGCCACATATGCTTGTTTTAACGCGCAGATATTGAACTAAAGTGGAGAAATGGACTGTGTGCTTTCTGTCACGTAGTGTTGTGGAATATTCTGCAGCCAAATTACTTCACGTGGGGCGTGACATAATTATCGAGCAAAGTGAAACAATACGAATCTAAATATAAAGTCACCACGCGCGCATTCTTTCAATATTTGCAAACGACAAATGTTGTTGAAAAGATACATAGCTCATGCAAACACTCTGCGATATTAATATAATAGCCTAACATTTAGTAATTAGGCTATTCGTCTATGCACAAGATATTATTTCAAGTTCAAAATATTGTAAAAAAAAAAAAAAAAAAAAATTATATATATATATATACAAAAATATTCAAAAGCGTTTTTAAAAAATTTGTAACATTTAGCAAACTATTTAAAAAAATAAAAAATAAAAGAAATACATTTTAATATAAATGCGTAGTTCCAGTTAAGGAAATAATTAGCATGCCCTCATTCGAGAGGAACTTTTCTAAACTTGAAGTGTTAAATTAATCTCACACGCACATCTGGAGTAGAGCGTTTGCAAAATAGCATCACTGAGTATTTCTATTTAATAAATACCAATTATTTATTTAGTACTCAACAACTCCACATCCATATGAATTTACCTTGAGATATGACGGTCCGAGCGTGTCGACAAGAAGTTGCCTACGTGCTCTGTCTTTCTGGTTTCATGGATCAGTTAGTAGCGGGTGGATTGTGAGTCAGGTGTCTGTCGCTATCAGCCAAATGAACCAATGAGCGCGAGGCAGGAACCAGCTCGCCAGAGTGCGCGCACCAAACGCTTGCAAGAGGGTCTAGCTGCAGCCTCGCACTTGCACTCTCTGACGTGCATTCTCAGACTTGCACTCTCAGACGTGCATTCTCAGACTTGCACTCTCAGACACTTGCACTTCCGCTAGCGACGTCACTTGCAGTCTTTATTATTTTTTATTTTGTTCTATTTATTGATGACTTTTTGTTTGAATCTCTCAACATTTTACAACAGTAGCCAGGTGGTGAAGACAAGAAAAAAGAAACTAAATTAC